CCGCTCTTCAGAAAAAGATTAAAGCACTTTCAAATTCTCAGAACTAAAGAAGCAACACAAGTTGAGTCATCTCCCGCCAACAATGTTTCTAAATTAGACTACTTGAAGAAGAAGAAATCTGCAGGATTATATAGTATAGCAGAGATATCCCCAGAAACTGTAGCAAGCTGACAAAAAAGTGAAAAGCTTTTTTCTCAGCTCTACAGAACATGAACACATCAGCTCCTACACCATTTCATTCTTTGCATTTCAGATCTGCAAGTGAATATTATGCTTAAATTATGCAAATTGAAGGGATCAAGATTTATCAAAGTATAAAATATGTGCTTAATAAATTGCCATGCTGTGCTGGGACACCATAAATCTCATGCTTAAGTGCTTGAACCAGGACCAAGCTTTGGAAAGCAAGCCAATCTGGGTTAAGGGAGGGTGTAGGAACTCTTTATTAGCCTGTGTTAGATGGAGAAGAGCAGCTACTTTCAGCATGCATGCATGCATTTTATCACCAAGAAAATTAGGAAGTGCAGTACATTCTGATCTTCCTGAAATACTGGTCTAACTTCCATTTTAAAAAAACCACAACCAACCCAAAATCAAGACATCAACAAGGAATTTATGGAGAAGCATCTAAATTTTGCTTTTTCTAGCATTTTCTCATCTCCAGGATTCTCTCTAGATGGAAACATTCCCTTTATTTGTGGATATCCATTGAGCTCATTAAGACCTCAGAGACAGGGGAACATAAAGTGACTGAGGAGAAAGCACAAACCTATATATCACAAACATTTTCATTACAGCTGAACCTAAAACTTTAGCAGAAATGCAGTTTATCATATATGTTGTTCAATCAAAATTGAAACAGTGAAAATTTTTTTTGTAAAAATTTTGCTCTGGAAGAAATACAGGAAAGAAATTTGACATCCCATTGCAACATTATTGAAGCATAGCGCTTTGATTTTTCATTTTCAAATAACTTCACTTTTGAAAATATCTTCATTTATGTTACATAGTTCACAATTTAAGAATTAGAAATCAAAAGTTAACCATTTCAACTTGGCTAGTGCATATCCTTTTAGACAGTAATTTATGAACAATTTCAAAAGTTTTCCACTATGTTCTCATTTAAAAAAAAAATAAAATAAAATCCCAGGAAAAATAAGGACCTGGAATTTCCAATATTATTTTGTGTCTGAGCTTCTCTTGGCAGACCCAGCTATTGATGTAGCCTGTCACCAGATCTTATCTTCTGCACACTTACATCCCTTGTGTCAGGCTGTTAATGTCAGTCTAGATTTTCCAAGACGGTGATAACACCTGCTTTGAGATTCTTGGCCCTTCTCCCTTTCCCAATACATCCATCTCTTGATTTACAAATACAAGGCAAACGTGAACTTTTCTCACCTGCAGTAAGAGAACGGCCCCAAGCCAAGCTGTACTGCTTTCTCAATGCTGTCGACATGTAGCTCTTGATAAAGCAAGTCTGAATCCCAAGGCAAGCAGCTGTGTCCAGAAATGGTTGTCTTTGCCGTACCTCTGTACTCTGTGCCATTGCCAACATAGCACCGATGGCTAGGAACTGGCAAAGCATAAGCCACTGGTCAGGAATCGATGCTAGTTACACCTCAAATACTTACTTCACAGCTGAGGTCCTAAATGAGAGAGCGCCAGCGGGGCCCGTTCTGTATAGTGCCTTTCACCTTTCACAGGAATTGAGTGCATCAAATGAGGATTTTTTTAAGAAAAAATTGACCCGGTTCAAACTTCTGTTTAAAATTAGTACTGAGTTAACCTCATTTTACAAATGCACATATAACTATGCAACAGGCAGGGCGGCAGAAAATTAGACCTAAAATTTATACTACATATGGAAGATTTTAGTCAGCAATCTGCAGCAAAATCAGCAATATGGTTCGGGTTCCTTCTGTCTAATTTTAGATACAACTGAGCTCATCACTGGAGACTCCCTTTTTAGTCAATTAAGAGAAACAGGCATTTCTAGCACCAGACTGATCCAGCCTGTTTCAGGTGACTTTTTTTAGGATGAGATGAGTCTTGCCATACACCCCTGACTACGTTGACCAAATCTCCATCAACAATAAAGGGAGCTTAAGTCAACCATCCCAGGTAGAGATACCTGTGTTCTAAAGCAGTGAAAATAATCCTGCCCCACCAGCAAGTGCTTAAAAGGTTTGATTTTGGAAAATACTTCTTTTTATGGCCTCATGCAACCCATACATATATATATATGCACACATACACTATACCCATGTATATTATATATATGTAGCTACGTATTGCAAATATATCAATTTTGCAAAAACTCAACTAGTAGGTTGAATTTTCTTATTCAAAATCCATTTCTTTGTCACCTGCAGATGGGTTATTTCTTCAGATAGGTCTGACACATACTTATTCTATGACCTGTATCCTCAGCTGCCAAGATCTATCAACAGCACATACCAGCATTATGGCTGAAAAACATATGGGGATGCATCTGTATACAAATAGCTACACTGAGCAGAAAGTCTACACCTCAAAACACAGCTCAGAGTATCCCAAAGGAAACACAAAACCATCTAATGTACAAAGAGGATTAATTGTGACCAAGCCTCAGAGGGTTTCTTATCACAGCCATGTCAGTGTGACTTGTCCTTGACATCTGCAAGACTGGTAGAATATTCTTCTAAAGTTATAAACATATTTAAATACATAACATCATGTTATTGCCTGACTATTGAAAAGCACACTCTGAGGATGATCTATGGCACCACACGGTGTAGACAGCTATTGCCAAAGATGTGTTCATTCTGACAGAATAAGGTGACACATGAACTGCGGTGCACAAACCAGCACTGAAATAGTGAATTACAGCAAAGAAATGCTGATGTCCATTATCCTTCCAAGTCATCAGTGTAGCAAACAGACCTCAAAACCACAAGCAAGCACATGGCATAACAAGTCAAGAAGTTTGGTGCACGAACTTCAGTGTGAGTTAGCATACAAATACTTAGCAAAATTCATTTTCTAGCTTGGCCTGGCAGACGCTTCTGGGGTGGTGGGAGAAAATGTTGTCTCACCCACCCCCTGAATCAAATTCCCTTTATTTTGATAATGATGAATATAACATTAAATCAAATTCATATTGTAACAAACATGATCTAGGAGCTCACAGAAAATAATTTGTCTATCATTTGCATTGCTAGCAACAGTAACCCTTTCTTGGCAACCCTGCCATATATTTTCTGGGCAGGTTGTAAGTTATGCTGCTTTGTTTGTGTGAAACAGTGTCATGAAAATACCACCATCATGCTGTATGCTGAATTCTTTCATTTATCCAGGGAAGTGCCAGGTGCTGTTTTTATTTGTACTGTATTTATTATATTCAGAAATCATTTAGAGTTGACTACTTTTATGAGGATGAAACATGAGATTCTGTTTCAGAGCAGAACCAGGGACATATTCTACAATACCAATAGTTTGGACATCTTGCAGACGGTGTTTACAAGTTGTGCTCATCCTTTTCAGGCTTAAAATCCAATGCATCTCTAGATGCATCTTCCTCTAGATGCATCTTCTAGAAGAATTTGACCCCTTTCTAAATCATCCCTCATGTTCTCTCCCTGTAACTAAGAAGTTTGGATTGCATATTACACTTGTTGAGAGGAACAGTAATATCTCTCAGACAGTTTTTTGTTTCTTTTTGGTTTTATAAGGAGTATTTTGGGAGCAGGAGTAAAGTGACTTAATCCCATATCTTGTGGAGAAGCATCAAGGTTAACCCAGCTGTTGTTTCACCAGTAGCTTTCCATCGGTCTATTCTCCACTCCAGCAGCTTTATTTGACTGCCTTGCAGTAGCACCATGGTACCCACACCACTGCTCATTAAAGGGCCCTTCATTAGCTGTCTAAGGCCATTAAGAAGTATATGCAAAGTCTAAGACATATTATCACCTATAATTCAAGACAGTTTTTGAAAACGTCTCTGGAACTGTTGCAGTCTTATAGATGTTTCACTTCTAATACTCTTTTTTTGAACAGTTGCAGCACTGAAAAATCTCTTTTCCCCTCTTTGTCAGAAACGGTGTGTAGGTGGTCTGCTTCCAGCAGTTCTTAATGGATTGCTGGGAATTGTTCATTCTCAATTCTTTATACCTTCTGCAACTTCTCATAATTCTGAAATATATTTATTTTCTTATGTGGAAGAAAGTAATGGAGGGCATAATATTTGTATTATTCTTGTTCATTCACTTCCCTGTGGTACTGCCAATCACTCCGTTAAGAGTAGAAGTGGCCTAAACTTTCAGATGGTGAAAGTTCTGATGCAAATGCGGATTCAGGTTACTCTGCAGACCCATACCACTATCACCACTGTTTGTTTCTTTTCAGAAAAAAAAATCATTAACACTTAAAACTAGAAATAATTTCCTATTATGTTTTATTTTTAAAATCCAAGAGGTGTAAATAGCTCACATGAAACATTCTAGTTGTGTTAGTATGGCATATTTTATCAGCATGTCACACCAATTCTTTGCCTTTTAATTTTTCAGTAAAAAGCAGTTTTAGGCTTTAAAATTAAAAGCAACCTGAAATAGCAGTTATCCAGACAGTTCTAATTGCTAACTTCCTGAAAACGTTTCACAGGACTTTTTGTCACTAGATCTTGTTTCAGGTTCCATATTTACATACCTGAATATTTTTAAGTTTCTTTTGGAAGTCTTTCTGTAGAAAACAATGTATCTTTTAGAATTTCTTTTCCTCCAAACATCTCATCATTGAATTTCTCAATGTTTTTGAGCTTTGACTGTGTTTTCCTTTCAGATACGCATAAGCTCTTTCTTTCTGTTAAAAAAATACATTTTTTCCCTGGTAGTCCAAATCCCAGGACAGTATAATTTGAAGCAAATGTTTCATTCAGTAATGCTGTGTTTTATCCCTGACCAACCTATAATGCTTTTATTAAATACAATATTAGGTTGGTTTTTTTTTTTTATTGCTCTATATCAGCTGATGGCAGGAAGGGAAAGGGGGAAGAGGAGAAGGACATGAGTCCCCACTCTGCTTACAATTGCCTTTGCAAGAGGACTTCTCCATTGCCTTAATTATCAATTACCCAGATGGAAGAGCTCTTTAGAAAACCATCAACTAAAGCAAAACCTTTTGGTTTTGGAGTTAGGAATTTGGTTTTGGTTTGACATTAGGAGAACATCCTCCATCCAGAGCTCTCCTGGAGCACATGTCCTCTCCTGCTGCAGTGCCTCAGGAAGCTCCACAGCCAAAGGTTTGAGTGCCTGCCCTACTCCCCTGCACAGGTCAGAGCGAACACTTCAGCATTCACTAGATAGCAGTTGGTTTGCAAGACAGGGCATTCATATCTCTCTGATATCAATTTATATTTCCACCTGATCCTGTTTCATCTATTAACGATGAAGATGAAGAACAGCAATGAAGAATGACGTTTTATGCCTCTGCATAACCTTATTGCTTACGCTGCCTCAGCATTGCAGGATGTGTCGCTCTCCAAGGCATCCTTTACAAGGGTATAAGTCAAGTTTCCTTCCTACATGAGCTCAGACTTGTCAGATGCCTGCATAAGGCTCTGTCTTTTCTTGATGCGCCTAGAGGTTCCCTGATCTCCTTTCACGGGTAGCCGTGAGATCCCCTCAGAGATGAAAGGTGTGAAAGTCTTTGATTTCAGGGAGCTGCGCTTCCTCCGCTGCAAGTGCAGCTAACCACTAGCCTGAGCTGGCAATAAACGTGTGACAGAAAGGAGTCTCCAGTATTCATAGAGATTGCTTTTACAAGCATCTCACTTCGTCGGATACAGCACTGAAAACCCCTCAGGTATTCTGAAAGCAGTAAGGCAGATATTCCTCTACAAAATGAAACAAACACCACACAGAGAACTTTGAAGGGCGTTCAGATTAACCTAGCACCACTCTTCATCATCCTCCTGAAGCAAAGTTTGCTTTGTCTTTGGAACAAACTCTCCCTTCCCATAAGAGTGAAAAAATCTGTAAATATCTAGGAAGGTGGCCAGGTGGGCACAGAATGTGCTGAAGAAAACGGTTGCCGTATTTTTCACCCTTTAATAACAAGAATACGAAGTCTAATGCATAGGGGCAGGGCAGGAGACTGCACGGCAGCAGCCCCAGGACTGGACTGTTCCTGGCTTGAAGCAAATTCCTTCACATTTTCGTGCACTAATACCTGTCTGTGAAAGTGAGGATAACAGCACTCACTGTAGCTTTCAGAGTTGGCAACTTAGTGAACATATATAAATCATGAAGTATAAGGGAAGCTATATATCTAAATTGCTACATTTCTATATAATTCAATCAGACATTTATAATATTTATCTAGATTTCAGTATTTCTGTTTGGGCACGTCACTAATTGCATGTCACTATAACAAATAATTGCTTCAATTAATTAGTTATGCTGCTTTCTGGTTTGTTGAATAACAATAAAACCTCCAAACTGATAGCACCTAACACTAAAATAAATCCCCGCTGAAACAGTAGCCTGATTATGTAACAAACAAACAATCTGTCTGAGCCAAAAAGTGCAGAAATGTGGGAAAATTGTCGTCCCTTTG